TCTTTGCTAACAGGTAAATCCTAAAGACCTGGACCCCAAGTTTGCTTACATTCAGGTCACATATGTAGTGCCCTACTTTGATGAAAAAGAACAATGTGACAAAAGGACCGACTTTGAGAGGCATCACAACATCAACCGGTTTGTATTTGAGACACCGTTTACGCTGTCAGGAAAGAAACATGGGGATGTGGAGGAGCAGTGCAAACGGCGCACCATACTGACTAGTGAGTATCTCTTCTTTGTTTATATCTCTGATAGATACATATTTTTTTGAGTCACCAGAACATACATTTGTCCTCTTTCTGTTACTGTATCTGACAGACTGTGTGTGTGTTTTTCTGTTCTTTAGCAAGTTCCAGCTTCCCTTACCTTAAAAAGCGCATCCAGGTGGTGGAGCAGCAAAGCACAGAAATGAATCCAATTGAAGTTGCCATTGACGAGATGTCACGTAAAGTCTCTGAGCTCAACCAGCTCTGCAACATGGAGGAGGTGGACATGATCCGGCTGCAGCTAAAACTGCAAGGCAGTGTCAGCGTCAAGGTGGGGATTCTCCCAAACTATAGATACACACATTTTACATAGGTTACTCTGGTGTTGTCTCACTTGATCATCTCCATCCAGGTGAACGCAGGGCCCATGGCTTATGCCAGGGCATTTTTGGAGGAGAAGAATGCTAAGAAGTATCCAGACAACCAGGTCAAACTTCTGAAGGAGATTTTCAGGTATGATTTAAAGTGTTGAGCTAGCTAACAATGATTTAGTCCACTGTCAGGAACCGTACAATGTAATACTATTTAAGTTTCACTAAAAAAAAAAAGTTAAACACATATCAATGATCAGCACATTAACATAAGTCAAACTTAATCCGCCCCCTGCAGGCGGTTTGCAGAAGCCTGCGGTCAGGCTTTGGATGTAAATGAGCGACTGATCAAGGAGGACCAGCTGGAGTACCAGGAGGAGATGAGAGCTCACTACCGGGACATGCTGACTGAGCTTTCTGGGATCATGAATGAACAGGTCTCACAATGCAAAGACTAATGAGTGTCCAGACTATACTGCCATACATTCTTTAATTTATTTGTTGGCACTTCAGTTGCATGGCATACTGAGCACCCTCTTTTTTTCTTCATGCATTATTTTTGGAGGCAGTTATTATTTTCGTGGACATCCTCTTCTGTTGCAACCTTTTCTCACACTGCTGCTTTTAAAAGCATCCTTGCCTTCCATTCATCTTCTCTGCCTAACCACTCCCTGTCCACTCTCTGTAAAACTGCTGTCATGTCATCAGATTTCTTTACAGAAAGACATCTTTTTCGCCTTTATACTTGCTTAACTCACTTTATTGTTACCTGAAATCCCAGCTCCCAACTCAGGAACCAAAGTGCCAGACTTGATATTTGCTCGCGTTTGCATTTTTCCTATTCCAATTGCAGCTTTTTATTCTTATTCTTGTGCAGATTCCTCACACAAGACAACCAGGAACAGAAAGGCACAGCACCTACTGAACGGCCAGTAGACTCGCCATAAACATTTTGTCCCAGTTTGAGCCTCAGAGTGACTCATTTGATTGTTTCCGACCTTTTTTCCCCCCCTGAAGCAGTTGGCTAGTGGAACTGTGACTGATGAAGAGTGTAGAGGACATTAAGGGAAGAAGTGTGTAGACTGTGGTTGTGGTAGTCTGTAGTCCTGTTGTTGAACTTTGTCTACAGTAGAGAGCAGACTGCTGGACTGTTAGCTACTGTACGTTTTGATTTAAAAGACTCGGTTCGTGTGTCGTATAGATTTCCCTGCCCCCTCAAGTGATTACATTTGCTTACATATTGGCAGACAAACCTGCAAACAAATTCAAATGCACACAAACACACAACATGCGCCTTCTCTCCACAACCCTGACCCTTTAGAGAACAGTGACCTTACTGAGCTCGAGGTGCGTTCAGCTGTATGAAATATAAAGCTCTCTGGTGCATTTTGATTACAGTTATTTTTACATTTTTCTGTGGAATATTACTGAATTTCAAACTATTAAAAGAAGTCTCGCAAGACAACTAATGTGAAAATGGCAAATGATTAGATTACAGGTTTTAATTAGCCAAGAATGTGAGGAGTTGAACGCACCTCCAGTTCTTGTTTGAATGTAGAGCAGCTCCACATTGCTACTTTGTATCCTAGCTAACGATCTGGAAATATCAGCTTGTCAATTTTCAAATGGAAACAGACAAAAAAAATATGTTTTGTAACATTTTTATAATTGAAAATTCATTGTTACTGTTATTATTTCCTGTACTGTTTTAAATTGTAAATAAGAAATATTAATATTTAAAAATGTTTGAAATGTTGCTTTTTATAAAATATACAATATATAAATTTGTTTAGCTGAATAAAAACAAACAAACAAAACTAAAGTTTTATGTATAACATTTAAATAAAATTTTGTTAATGTCCAAAGATCATGACTATGTTTAAGTAGCTTAATTTGTTGTTGTGAGTCTTTTTGTTGTTTTTTATAATTGCACTTTACATTATGGTTACAGGTCCTCTGCTATGTTGTATCTGTAAGTTTACTCATCCAGTCTGTGTCTTGGCTGTAAATCTGCACAGCAGCCACTCATATTCTGTCTTGCATTGGCCTGAGACCGGCTAATTCATTAATTAGACATTTTAAATTAGCAAACTCAGGCAAAGACAAAGAAGAAAAAAACATTTTTTTAAACTTTGCTCCCTGGTGTTATAAACAATGGCTCTCTTTATCACTTATGTGTGACTATTATATTTTTTGTGTGTGTTTCCCTACATCTTCAATGTTGACTTCATATATTTCACTATAACCACATCTTTTCCAAATCCAAATATTTCTTTCCCCTAAATCAGAGCATTTTACTAGTTTTACTAACCTGGGAAACAGAGCTGGCACTAATCAAACAGATGAGACATTGGAGAAGCAAAACAGAACATGAGTACAGCGACAGAAGACTACCAAAGTAAAACAGGAAATACAGGGAACACACAATGAGACGCAGATGTACACAGAGACATGACTGGGAAAGAAACACAGGGCTAAGACAGACAAACAAGACACAGACGAGACCAAAACATGAACAGGACCAAATACTAACTAAGATCACCAAAACTAGAAATATTGAGTAAACTCAATAGAATAAGTAAACAAAACCAGGAAATATAAAATACAACGAGAACATAATGAATCAAAAGACACAAAACACTGGGTCAACGACCCAAGTACCCTAACACTGATGGCTACATTGTGATCATAAAGGCATGGACATGGTACACCACAATACTTCTTAGGTAGGTAGACTGTGGTCTATAAATAATACTCTTTGGTACAAAAGGTTTTAGTTCCAAAGAGTATTAGTAATTGGCTCTTATTAATCTCTGTCTCTCTTCCACAGTGTGTCTTTGTCCTATTTTCCTCCCCTAACTCTAACCGGCCACGACAGATGGCCTTCCCTCTGCTGAGCGTTTCTTCCTGTTATATATATATATAGTATATACATTGGGTGAATGTGCAGTAGTAGCAGCAAGCAGGTGAATTCTGTACATTAATATGAATAGACATCTGACTATTTTACAGGATAGACAATATAAACATGCTTAAAATTAAAGGAATTTGAAATGTACATTGTTCCTTGGTTTAGTGTCTGGAAGAGTCCTGTCTCAGTCAATTATAGATGATGTGAGATGATGTGAGCGGGCGGGTGTGTGTGGTTTAGGGCACGGATGGCTTGGGGATAGAAGCTCCTCTTGAGTCTCTCTGTCCTTGCCCGGAAGATGCGGAACCTTCTACCAGATTGCAGAAGTTGGAACAGTTTGTTGCCAGGATGGGACGGGTCCTTCAGTATCTGCGCTGCTCTAGTCCGGCATCTCCTGGTGTAGGTGTCCTGAAGCGGGGGGAGAGCAATCCTGCAGCAGCGTTCTGCTGTACGGATCACTCTCTGGAGAGCTTTTTGGTCCTTCACACAGCTGTTCCCAAACCACGATGTCATGTTCTGTGTGAGGATGCTCTCCACAGCGCCTGTATAGAAAATCCTGAGGATCTTTGGAGAGACCCTGAACTTCCTCAGTTGTCGTAGGTGATACAGGCGCTGCCTAGCCTTTTTGGTCTGGACCTGAATGTGGGCAGCCCATGTCAGGTCTGAGGAGATGTGGACACCAAGATACTTGAAGGACTGCACCCTCTCCACTGGAGCTCCATTGATGATAATGGGCTTGTAGTCTCTGTGCTGACCCCTTCTGAAGTCCACCACCAGCTCCTTGGTCTTGCCTGACGTTCAGCTGGAGGTGGTTGTCCTGGCACCACGATGCCAGATTCTTCACTTCATCCATGTAGGCCGCCTCATCGTTGTTGGAGATGGCACCCAACACCACTGTGTCGTCAGCAAACTTCACAATGGTGTTGGAGCCATGGGTGGCCACACAGTCTGAAGTGTAGAGGGAGTAGAGCAGTGGCGAGAGGACACATCCCTGAGGTGCTCCTGTGTTGATGGTGATGCTGTTGGAGAAGCACCTGCCCACCCTCACCACCTGAGTTCTGCCAGTGAGGAAGTCCAACACCCATGCACACAGACGGCTGTTAAGTCCCAGATCCCTCAGCTTTGTGAACAGTCTGCAGGGCACTATTGTGTTAAACGCTGAACTGTAATCAACAAACAGCATTCGCACATAGTTACCCTGTTTCTTGTCCACGTGGCTGAGAGTGGTGTGTAGGACGTGGGCGATGGCATCCTCTGTGGATCTGTTGGATCTGTAGGCGAACTGCAGCGGATCTGTGGTGTCTGGGATGGAGGAGGAGATGATGTTCTTCAGCAGCCTCTCAAACACCTTCATTACTACCGAGGTCAGTGCAACTGGCCGGTAATCGTTCAGGGATGAGGGTTTGCTGTTCTTGGGCACAGGGATGATGGTGGATCTTTTGAAGCATGTGGGGACCACAGACTTCGCCAGGGACTCGTTGAAGATGTAAGTGAACACACCTGCTAGCTGGTCAGCACAGCAGCGCAGCAGACGGCCGGTGATGCCGTCTGGCCCCGCCGCATTGTTTAGCCATCAACAAAGCATTTTCATTGCAGAGAGCTGCCACTCATAGGATGTTTTGTCTTTTTGAATAATTCTCTATAAACCCTAGAGATGGTTTTGCAGACCTTTTTAAAAACTATTATTCAGTATATAATACTACAACACAGCCTGATATCAGACAACTGTCGTCAGGTAGAATTCCTTGATTTAATTCATAAGGACACTCAAAAGCTATACCCACATAGGCAGTTGAAATTAAGTAACATAGACACATACTCTCACAAATGCATCTGTCAGTAGAGTGTGTTGCACTGACTTTAGCACAGTGGAGGGTATAAAATTGTGGTTGAGGTTTCATTGAAAGTGACATGGCATTAAAATTTAGTGTGCTCCCACAGTGACCAGTTTTCCAACGGATCTGATGTCAGTTTTTTTCCACTTGTTGGGTATAATTACTGACCATGCAGAGATAAAGCAGCAGAGTGCTTCTTTACTAATTGATGCTAAGCCTGGGGTTTGTACACGGCACATAAAAAGAGGTTAAGTGGCTCTGAAAATGCAGTTGGTGGTAAAAGACAAAGTATTGCCTTTATTTCTCTCTCACTCACTCACTCTCCATCTCTTTCTCACACTTGTCTGTTGTTGTTATCACAGTCTGACAAGACAGCTGACACATTTATGTCTGTCTCTTCACACTCCCTCTGTTCCACACCTGAGGTGCAGCAGATTGAGTTGCACTGACCCTCTACAATAAGTCCTCTACACAAACTGTTTTTCTGCCAGCCAATCGGCAGTACTCCCATCCTCAGTCTCATCTCTCTCACCTCCCGCCTTCTCTGTAGCCTATTTTGTGAACCAGAAAGGGGAGCTTATTGGGTTTCTCTCCTCCACAGACTAGTTTATGTGTGCCTGTCTCTGTCCCAGTGGCCTAGACTCTGGGAGGCTCGGGTTGCCCTGAGCCACCACCATTCAGTCCAAGTCACACATGAGAAAACCAACTGGGGCTCTATTTTAATTTGTTAATTAGCTAAACACCCTTCCTTACACCACTTGTATATTATGGATTATGCCATTTTAAATTATGTGGGTAACCTCGGTTTTTGTTTGAGTCGGGCCAGCTAGGGTACACGTGCACTCACAGACTTTCTGGTCTATTTATAAGGGATCACAACCTGTTGCCACATGAGCTCTACTGGCACACTGGACCATTCATCCTGACTATGGAAGTCCCACTGAGTGTAATTTGCTGAAATTTTCTTTGGAGTGCATCCTGTTGCATTTCATGTTTGTTCCTTCTCTTATTATTATCATCAAACACCTGCTTTTTTTCTACTGTCTTTTTCTTCAAAACTGCCTGCAATTTCTGGTTTAACCGCCCTCCTCCCTTTCATCAAACATGCATATTCATGAGACAGAGGATCATATAGCCTATTAAATAGACTTTAATTAATATCTCTCTTCTGAGTGAATTTGCTCATATTGAAAAAACACTCACACTGTCATTGTGCAAATAATCAATTACACTTGTTTTTTTTAAATGCTCTGCTCTAAATGATCTTATGCATCAAAATCAGGGCACACACACACACACACACACACACACACACACACACACACACACACACACACACACACCAAAGAAACAGAACAGGCCCCTATTCAGTCTCACTCCAAGATTTGTCTTGGCTGACAGATTTAATTAATATTTCAGGGGGAGGACATTGTAATCCCAACAGAGAAATAACCCCCACACAGTAAAGCTGGGATGCCAAAATCATTCCTACACCTTAAACATATAGTTGCTACAAATATTATAGGCACAAAAACGATGTCAAAACTCCTTTTAAGTGCTGCTCTAGCTTTTGTGCAGTGCACAATTCATTTCCGACCCCTGCTTAGTTTTCCTGAAACCGGACGCCGGGTGTGATGAATAAAACATTCTTTGTGTGCTGCTGGATGATCACCGGAGCGCTTTCAGGTGTACAAGTGGTGAAAGGCGATGTAATCTTCCCCATAACAAGATCTGGACTGAGATTGACAGACGCAGAGAACCTGGAAAGCCTCTAAGCAGGAGGACCACAAAAGCTTTGGGGACTGCAATGATAAAGCCGCAGGAGCACGGTGAGCTTCTACTGCGCGACTCCCTGCCGGTGTTTGGGAAGCCGTGGTACTGGCAACGCAGCAACAGCACCATGGAGAGCACCCGCAGCCTGGCGCAGGTGATCATGGAGATGCGGGACGAAATCAAGAAGCTGGAAGCGGAGAACCGGGAGCTGCGGGGAGACTTTGGTCAGCGTTCACTTGCAGCCATGCCAGGAGAAGCTAGTCCCGTGTCATCAGCAGTTAAGAAGCAGGCTGACAAGGATGATAACCCTTATGTGAACCTGAGGCGAAATGCGTCTGCGCCAGTCCTGGAGGGACAATACAAGGGTAAGAGGGAAGTCGAGTGGGGCATCAGACTGAGTTTAAACTAATGAAATAGTATGATAGGCTATCTCTTAGGGTTCTTTATTATATAAAAATTTACTTTAAAACTAGAAATAGGGCTCATTATAGGCTCGTTCTGATTCAATGGTCATCCTTTTTTAAGGAGATTTGAGGAGATTCCTTATTCACAATAAATGCCAACAAATTATCTAAGGAAAAATCAAAATATGTTAATTATAGCCTTTTATAATATTCGTAAATTTTATATAAACTTTAAAACGTAATATTTAGAGACACCTGAGAACATGACATTACTGTTTCCTGTCTATAGGCATCCCTGCCCTGTAAAATAAATAAATAAATAAAAATCTTTCAATCCATCATGTTTGTGCTGTTTCACAGAAAACACTGTGATGACTGTTCGGAGGTACTCTACAAGTTCCAACCTGTCTGGTGTGACTGTACGGGATGGAAGGATTAACAGGGTCCGGCCAAGCAACTCTGGTTGGGAAAGACTGCAAGAAGAAATCCAACATGGGAAAGGTGTCTTCGGTAACTCAACAAAGGAAGATGTGGGAAAAATTACCAACCGGCATTCCCTGCAGGAATATGTTCATAAAAACAGGTAGAGATAAATACTATAAATGCCCCAACTGTAGCTTTAAACAAATATTCATCTTAAACTTGACCTCACAGAGGCTTTAACTACTGTTTCCATTAATGGCTAATTTCAAAGTACTTTGTTCATTGCTTTGCCTCAAAAGGCTAGTCTTTATACAGAATCTCTGAAACTGCAGCAAAATTATTCTTGTGTTTTCTTTGCACCTTAAGGTCCAAGGTGAAAACTGTCACCTTCCTTCTACCTGTGGATGACATTTACACCAGTCGACCAGCTCTGACCAAACACCAGGGGGATCCTAGACTGTCTGACCTGGATTCCATAACTGAGACGGATTCTTGAGAAAACAACCAGACTTTAAACGAGGCAAAATTCAGACATGAACTGAGCCTCTGTGGCCTGCGACAGGTGACAGGTTGGCCTCTTCATCTAGGCCAATGTAGACTGGGCTCTTAGTGAGTGAGCCAGCAGACCGATTTTTATCACACCTGACCACACAAACAGAAGACTCTGGTTACAGGTGTTGTTTTCATGTGACCATGGTCAACAGTGATGAAGCACAGAGCCCTCCGGAGCGAGGATCAGATATCTGGTCTCTTCACCTGACCCCGGGTGTTGCTTGAGAGTGACACACACACCTGCAGGTGACAACCCTTTTACGGACAGCTGTGGTCGCTGACTCAGACTTCATGAGCGATGTTTTATTCATTATTTATTCATCTTGGTTTCTTTTCACAATGTAAACTGAAGAAGATGGTCAATGGACCTCCTGATGATGACCTGCTGTTCCTGAGCATGTATTTTGTTTTCTCAAAACCAAATCACAATCTTTGCTTTCATGTATAAAAGTCTTCTTAAAAGAATCCAGTGTTTGGATTATTTATATTAAATATAAATGGTATGAAAGTCATGTTTAAAGGAGACTGTTTTATTATTCCATAGATAGATAATCATTTCTCAATAACATGAAAACATTTTGCTTACTGTGCCACTGTCACTGTGCAGGGCAGACACAATTAAAACTTCTAATATAAGACGCATGAGCTACAACCAAAGCATATAATCATTACTTGAACTTCACCTGCAACTTCAACATTTGATCTGCAACATCCAATAAATGACACATTAACAGAAAACCTTGTACAGTGCAGCGAATCACTCTAACTGATGAAGTACAGAACATAATCTCTGCAGCAAAGTTGTTTTGTCAGTAGTTGGTGTCAGCTGCAAGGGTTCATGCTCATCATTACACCCACTCTTGCTGATAAACCATTTACAGCCTGTAAACTATTATGCATTAGTATTAGCAGCTCAGAGAACTACACAGAACTGGGTTTGGCTATGTTTTCTTTCAATATTAGTTTCCAAAGAATCACTCATCAAGTTTTGCTCCTGCATGTCCACATGGCTATCACTGTCTAATTCCTCTACGTTTTTCTCTGTGTATTCTGTTTGGCCAAATTTAGCAGTAGCTTGTAACTGGTCAGGAGCTCCATCCTCTGATTGGTTTTCAGTTTCGAGGCTTCCATAGCTTTCTGAGTCGGAGGGCTTGAGAATTGGGCGGATTTGAATCTCAGACATATTTGATGATGGCAGAGATTCACTTGGACTGTCTTTGTAATTCATTGGGATCAAGAAAGGCTCATCTTTATGCTTTGTTTCAAAACCTGTAAAAGAGGACAAAAACACAGTCAGAATCAGAATACTTTATTCAATCTAGAGGAATTTATGTGGTCACATTTGCTCCAAGACTGTTTCTATATACAGTTGAAATTGAGGTGCCCCTCTTATCATATTGATTTTGTTATTTTCTCTATTCATCTATTGCAGTGTGCACTTGTGCTTTAGATGGAGGAATTGTACAGACAGAAATGTCAAACAACCATCAGTTATAATTTCAAAGACACACAACAAATCACTACATTTGGTCTATACAGACCTGGCTGGTAGCTTCCCTGGCTGCTGTCCTCTCCGTCTGTGGCCTCCAGGTCACAGAGACCCATAATCTGCTGCTCGCTCACTCCGGTGTTTCTTTCAAGAAAGTAAGTGGTCATACTCCCCTTTCCCTTCACCTCTATCTCTCCTCGTTTCTGGATGACAAAGCATTTGTTCTTTAAAGCCCTGAAATATATGAAGGCAAGACTTAGAAATAAAGGCAGTAATCATTCTGATGATAACACAGGTTTCATAGCACATGAAAGTGTGTATGGATGCAGGTTTTCTTGTGCAATATTATGTGTCTCCTCACTGGTATACAGTTGGGCTCAAATGGATCTTGTTGGGGAGGCCGTGACTCTCCATACGAGATGCAGTGTTGACAGTGTCTCCGAAAAGACAGTAGCGTGGCATCTTTTCCCCAACTACACCTGCCAATACAGGACCACTGTGGAGACCCACACGGATCTATAGAAATACAAAACATCACACAGATGGAGTTACATATGTATATTTGGATTCAAACTCTGGCACAGGTGCATTTGGGGGAGTGAAAGAAGACTCCTTCCACTCAAAAGTGTGTTTTTGTCTCTGCTGCTTACAGCAGAACTACCGTAATGGTGTAGCACAATAATTGAGTAAAGTTCCCCCCATTTCACAACCATTTACTTAAGAAGTGCTCTATAAACTTCCTTGCACCTGAATGGGTCCTCCAGTTATGGGGTTAATAACCTCCTTGGCAGCTATAATCATGCCCAGAGCAAAGTTGGCCACCCTCTCAGCATGGCTGGAGACAGGTATAGGAACCCCACCTACCACCATATAGGCATCCCCTATGGTCTCAACCTGGTAAAAACAGAAAAATACTCTGTCAGGTTCAAACAGATGACATGATGGAAAAAAAAAACAACCCGTAACCAAAAGCTTTATGGAAATGCATGAATGGTTCTTTTCTTTTCCAGTGAAATGTACATGGAAAAAACCAGGTTACACCATTCATATTTACCTTGTAGACATTGTGCACAGTGGTGAGTCGGTCAAATTGCAGGTACATGGAGTTAAGCATATGAACGATTTGAATGGGTTCACACATGGCACAGATATTTGTAAATGTCACTACATCACTGAACAATATGGTGCATTCCTTGAATTCTCCTGTAGGACACATACACACAAATTAAGATGCAAAACAGCCACATCAGATAGGCCCAAACAAATTATCCAGTATTTATATCTTTTAACTATCTATTAACCTGCATCTACTTTTTTGCCCTCTTTCAGCTGGTTGGCTACATGCTTAGGCAGCATGGCATACAGCAAGTTCTCTGTCTTTCTCTTCTCTTCCTCAAGGTGCTGGGACAGGATGCGGAGCTCTTCCTTCTTCCTTTCCAGCTGACTGGATAGCTCCATTTCAGCCAGTCGCTGGTGATTGAGTAGGATAAGGTCCCGGGTGACATCATGGGGTGCAATGTCAGAAATGTGCATGTGCATTTCCTCCAGCTCCTGAAGGCTTCTCAGCAAAGGAGAGGCTTGATATAACATGCAGCGCAGAGAAGGCATCCAGATCATCTGACCTGAAGACAAATAACAGAAGATGGAAAAAAATACACACATAAGAAAAAGAAAATGTTTCTTTCTTTTTACCTCTGAGCTGAAGCATAGGCCGGCCTTTCCATGCCTCAGGCATCATTTCCCTGCGAGTCTGCATGACAAAGTGGCTGTTGATGAACTTCCGGATGCTGGAGATTGTGAAAGTCACCTCAGGATGCACAATGCTGAAGTACTCATCTAAATGGATATTCACAATCTGCAGCCCAGGGACAGTCCTTTGGAGATTCACTCCAGCCTGATGCACCACCAGCTGTACCACACACCACCACCATTAGGCTTTCACCGTTAATATTATATGACTTAATTATTTATGCCTCTTGAGTTGGTTTCTGCAGAGACTGTTCATCGCTAATCTAAACCATGTATATATTTCTGTAAATTTTACCTGCTCATCAAAGACTACATGGAAAGGGAAAGCATGGCAGAAAGTCTGCAGGTCAATTTTGAGCTTCATGGGATACACAGGTTCAAAATTCTTCAATGATTTGCCTGTATAGCAAAATAAATGTTGTAAATATTTATTTATACATACAAATGTAAAAATGCAAATGTCTTATAGGAGTCGTTGGGCACAGCCCATTGCTCCAAGGCTTTATGTTAACTGTACCTTTTCCGATGTGAACCAACTCCTTTGATGTCTGCCAGTGACTCCTGGGCATGGTGAAACTGATCTTTGTTTTCTTTTCATGATCAGACTGTTTGCATAAACAGAAAAGAGTTAGAATTCCAGTAAAATAAAATTGTTATTTAATTTAACACTTCTAAAATCTAACCTTTTTGATCCCGACGGTGGTATTAGGTTCATCAGTCAAAGAATGAAGGATCTGGGCCTTTGAGGAAGCATCAGTTTTACTGCTAACTAGGAAAACCACGTGCTCCTTCTTTCCAGTTCTCTCCAGTTCTTCTAGCTGGTTAACAATCTCCATTGTTATCTCACTGTTGAAAAAATCCTTAGCAACAGCACCAATAATACCTACAAAAGAGAACACTGGTATTTAGATCCAAATACTCCATATTAAGAATGAGAGTAATGTAGCTCAAAATTGTTATTTCTAAAGGAAATGTTTCAAATAAACCAGGAACAATGTGACAAAGTCCTCTGCGGTCAGAATAATAATGGAGAAGCATGGTTCCATCAGGGTTCCTTTCCACTCGAAAAGAAGGTGCATTCATCTCCTGCAAGAATCAAGCAGGGAATAATAAAATATATCTCCAATAAAAAAGAGGGGGGG